GTTCTGGCAGCACGGCGCTTTACGAGCCCGGAATAACGCGGGGATTGCTCCCAGCTTTCAGTGAACCTTTTCCATGATTCCCACAGCCACTCCCACCACTCCCACGGTGCAGAACGTCCTGATCAACCCATCCCTCATCGGCCCCAAGAACATCCTGATCACCACCAACATGGTCCCGCCCGGCGCCGCCGACCCCAACCCGCTCAAGAGGAAGCACGAGGACGACGACGACTACGACGCCTTGTGAGGGCCCCAGCCCTTCCCATGGGATCCATGGAGCCATTCCCGTGGGATCCATGGAGCCATTCCCACGGGATTCATGGAGCCATTCCCACGGGATTCATGGAGCCATTCCCACGGGATCCATGGAGCCATTCCCGTGGGATTCATGGAGCCATTCCCGTGGGATCCATGGAGCCATTCCTGTGGGATCCATGGAGCCATTCCCGTGGGATCCATGGAGCCATTCCCATGGGATTCATGGAGCCATTCCTGTGGGATTCACACGGACTCCGGAGGGTGGGAATGGGTGGGAAGGCCCCGTTTGGGCCTCGGGAGTGTGGAAATAAAGAGGAGAGTGTTTGTAACCCGGCCTTGGTGTCTTGTGCACACACCTGGGGGAGGGGGCAGGGGCTTTTCTATATAATTTCAATATTTTTAATTTATATTTTTATAATTTTTATATTCACTTATATATAATTTTATATACAAACACATATATATATGGTATACATATATTGTTTTTATATATATATGTTTCATATCTATATATATGTGTTATATATTTATCATACACACACACAGATGTCATTGCCTTGTACCCTCAAAACTCCCACTTTTTTAATCTATATCCATTTATCTATACACATACATAGATATTTATATATTTACATATTCACATGCACACATTTATAAAATATATAGAATATAGTGTACAGAGTAGATAATTATGCATGCACAGAAACATTTCATATATAAATTCTATTTTATATTATGTACATATTCTAAAATATACATACATATAATGCTATATAATATAAAGCACATAATTATTATATAATATATATAAATATCTTTTGCATGTAACATCTATATCATATACAAACAAAATATGTAGAGTATAGTGTAAGTATATGGAGAATATACACTAGTTAGGCATGCACAGAAGCACTTTATTATATATTATATATATTGTATATATTATTTATTATTATATAATATATATTATATATTATATATTATACTATATTATATGGTATGTCATAATATATTCATTATGTAGTATACATAAAGCATATACATATATTTTAAATAATATAATTAATTGATATATATTTTTGCAAAATATATATTGCAATACAAAATATACATAGAATATGGATTAAGTATATAGAGAATATACAGCAGTTAATTATGCATGCAAACACTTCATATATATTATATATGTTATATATATGTATCAATCATGTACAGTTATATAATAATACACTGTATAAGGTAAAGCATATAATTAATGTATTTTATATCCAAACATATATCAATATATTATAAAGATAAATATATGAAACACGTAGAAATATATATCCATATTTAATAAATATATATATAAACATATATAACACACAGAAATATATATAGTAATACATATAAGTAGATATATAATAATACATGTAATATATATCAATAACTTTTATATATAATACATAATACCATCATATAAACACCTTTTATATATAATATCCCTGTGCACTTGTATTATACACCCACCTGTGTGTGATTTCCTACATTTTCTATTTCTATAGGTCCCTGTGTTTACAGTCTCAGCCTCTCTCCCACAACGATGTTTAATATACTAGAAATATAGAAATATATTATTGACCCATATAATTATAATAATTATTATTATAATTATTATATCATATATTATGTATGGTTATATATAATGATATATTATTATTCTATATAATAATAGAATATATAATATATAATTAAATATATAATAATGTTATATAATGAATATATTGCACATTACAAATTAATATAGAATAGAATAGAATAGAATAGAATAGAATAGAATAGAATAGAATAGAATAGAATAGAATAGAATATATATTATTATAATTATTTGCCCTACAAACAATGTGGGGGTTTTTATTTGCCCGCCCCCATGCTCTCACATCCCCAGTTCTCACAAACACTCTTCATATTTATTTATTTCTTTATAAGCAGAACTCTATGATGCCTCTCCTGTTAAACATCTAAAATATTTTATATTTCTGTCTATAAGCAGCCACATGACTCATTTCCATTTATAACAACACCTCCCTGTCTGTAATTGGTGCTTTATTTTTAATTTTTAATTTTAAATTTTATTTTTATATTTTTATTTTTATTTTTAATTTTATTTTTTTTATATTTATTTTTTTTATTTTTATTTATTGGTGCCAGCACCATTCCCAAGCTGTTTTGGGACATTAATTAAATTAATTTAATTAATTCTTCCATATAGAACCAACCCTCCCAGTCTGGTTTCTGCACAGCCCAGGCTCACACCTTGTGCTGATCCTCCAGAGGATAAAATACATAAATGGATCTTTCTGTGTAATATAATATATAATATATAATATATAATATGTAATATATAATATATAATATATAATATATAATATATAATATATAATATATAATATATAATATATAATATATATTATATGTATAATACAGAAATACAATAAATATATAAATATAAATAAATAAAAATTATTTTCTATTATATAATTATAAAAATATATAAATCAATGTAGATATCATAAATACAAATATAAATAAATATAATAATATATAAATATAATACGTATATAAATATAATAAATATATATTAATAAGTATAAATAGGTTTCATATTGTTAATAATGATATAATTATATAAATAATTATAATGACTATAAACGTATAATAAATCTAATAAAGCTATAAATATATATGTTTTATACTAGGTATTGTATACTCTATAATATAGACATGAAAGAATTTATAATATACAATATTATAATATAATATAATATAATATAATATAATATAATATAATATAATATACATAAATATATATATTTTTATACCTATAACATACATAATTATAGATATATATATATGGATATAACATATAACTAGGTACCATATATATTTAATTTTTATTATATGGATATGACTCACATAATATTTATATACATAAGTATAGAAATATATATTACAATATTTAAATAGAGTGTTAAAATATTAACATAATACTAAATCTGACATTAAATATATTATATAGAAATATATTTAGATATAGAAATATAATAGGTACATAAACATTTTTTATACACATGTAGAGAATATAGTTAATTATGCATACAGATAAACACTTTTTCTTACATATATACTTTTCAAATATGAATTTATATAATATAAATTTATATTTTACCAATATATATAAATATTTAATATAAATATTTGCATATTTTTTTACAATTTAATATTTATAATATTAAGTATTAAAATATATACACATAAAACTGTTGGATGCTCTCTCACACATCCACAGTTTAAAAATAATAATATATAGAAATACATTTCCACACACATTTGTGTTACTGTCTACTGCTGGCAGGTACAAATGTACATATATGGGTTATAATGTAATATATATAATATATTTTATATATTTATATATACATACAATATATATTTTATATATATGTTTTATATGATATTATAAAATTAATAGAATAAGATAAAGGAATTTAAAACAATATATATAAGACAGAATTATAGAATATTGTTTAGAATTAGGTATTATTTTCTGTGTATTTTATTCCAGGCTGGAGTTGTCGGGCTGTCCTGTGCAGGGCCAGGAGCTGCATCCAAGGTCCTGGTGGGTCCTGTCAGGAGATTCCCTGGCTCTGCTCCAGGTCCTGGAAGTGTCCCAGTGCCAGCAGCCCCTGGGGCAGAGCTGGGGTCGGGGCAGTCCTGCTGTCCCTTTTGTCCTGTCCTTGCTGTCCCCTCTGTCCTGTTCCTGGTGCCACCTCTCTCCTGTTCCTGCTGTCCCCTCTGTCCTGTCCCTGCTGTCCCCTCTGTCCTGTCCCAGTCCCAGGGGATGCTCCCTCCTCCCGCAGGACAATCTCCCCTCAGCCCCTGGCATTGTCCCCAAGCACAGATTCGATGCCTTTGTGCTGTGTCTGTTCTTCAGCACCAAACTCCTGACTCAGGGTTGAGCCTGAAGGATGGGCTGTGGGATGGGATGGGTTGGGATGTGGGATGGGCTGTGGGATGGCATTTGGGATGGGGTGGCATTTGTGATGGGACAATCTTCTATTAGGGCACAAACCCTCAGAATTTCCAGGCTTGTTTGAATCACTTGGAAATATTTTATAGCTCTCAGGGCCTTTATTGACCTGGAAAGCAGGGAGAGGACTGAAGTCCAGGGTGAGGGGGGATTTTGGGAAGGAATTCTTCCCTGTGAGGATGGCCAGGCCCTGGCACAGAGAAGCTGTGTCTGCCCCATTCCTGGAACAGACCTGCTTAGATGGGGTTTGGAGCAACCTGGGACAGTGGAAGTGGATGATCCTTATGACCCAACACAAAAACATTCCTGGGATTCCCTAAATTGGCAAAGCCCTCAGGCAACACGTAAATAAAGAGGATTCTCAGGTCAGGGATACTACAGCCCCAATCCCACATCCCTGTGCAGATCCCCAGGGAAGGGCTGGGTCAACACCATTGGCAGTAGAAGAAAAATAAATTGAACAAAAATTCCATTTATCACCTTTCCTTCCTGCTGAGACTCAACTTAGGGCTGAGGGCAAGGAAAAGCAGGGTTTGTTTGGGGTGCCTGGACACAAAGACCTGAGCAGGTCCCAGTAGCAGCAACTCCTGGACTGGTTTTAAGACCAAGTTTAAGCCCAGGGGAGGCTGGGGGTGGGGTGTGTTGTGCACAATAATTCCAGCTCCAAGCCAGGTTTCTTTAGTAATTCCTTTATTAAAACTGCAAACCAGAGTTAAAATTCCTACATTATTCACATAGGTCAAGGTTCTAGTTCATTGACTAAGGACAGTCCAGCGGCCAAAGGGGCCAGGAAGCCTGACCACTTCAGAGCTGCTGATTTAAGACTTCAGCCAGGCCCTTTTCACTCCATGGATCTCCCAGGGCAGCTGGAAAAGTTCCTTCAGGCTCCGTGGGAAAAAGCAGGAGCAGATCTCCGGTGCAAAGGCGAAGTTCTTTCAAGATTACAGGTGAAACTGTACCCAGCGTTCACAGCTCAGCAGGAGGGAGGGAGCTGGGAACACCCACCTGGAAAATCACCTCCATTCACACCAGGAATTCCAGAGGAAAGATTCTTACCCTTCCCCTAGCCCAACACACAAATATTTACAGACACAACCAGCAAGAAGCAGAGTTTGACTCCCTTGCTGAGGGCAGGAGCTGCTGCTCCAGCAGGAGAATCCAACTCCCTCTAACATCACCAGGAACGTGGCCTAAAGGGATGGGAAAGCTCCAGGTCAGTTAAACTCCTCCTTGATGGGGGTGCAGCCTGAGAAGAAGCTGATGTTGCTGCTCAACATCCTTTTCTTCTTCTTCCCAAAGGGGTTCTGGTTCTCCCGGGACTCCTCATCCCTCCCGAGCAGGGAGGTGGCAGTGCTGGGAATCTTCAGGAGCACCTCCTGCTCTGTGAGGTCCTGCAGGACCTGTGGGAAAGCAAGGGACAGTCTTTGGCTTAGTCACTGCTGGAGTGACCCACCAGAGGCAGCAGGACACTGAGAGCCAGCCCAACCTCAAGAGTTGCTTTTTTTACTCAAGTTTGGAAAAAGACAAATTTTTTGACAAAATATCAAGAGCCAGCAGTTGGAATAGTGGGTTCCCATGGGATAAGGGAATTTGTTCAGCTGAGGTGAAGTGAGATGTGCCAGGTCAGAGAGCACAACAGCTCTCCCAGTTTGAACACGGACAGATGTGATTTTACCCTGCAAGCTCCTCACTTCCCCCCTCTCCTTGCTGAAGGTGCTGCAGGAAAACATGGCAAGCCTGTGGCATCATTCCAGTGTGTGGAAACTTAGGAATTCAGCACACTGTGAACTTCCACACAAGCTGCCTGGAGCTCTGCAGCGTTTTCCAGCAGCAGCTTCTCCTCTGGGGTGATTTCCCTCCAAGATTCCTCATCCAGCAGCTCTGCTCTCCCCTGGGAATACCTTAGTGGTTGGGGTGACACACACGGGCTGGAAGAAGCTCTCTGCTGCTTTCACCTCCGTGGGATCTTCCAGCTTCAAGGACCCTTCCAAGTCCCTTTTGTGCTCCTCACATGTTGTGGTTTCCTGAGGGGCAGCAGAGGGTGAAGCTCTTGCAGAAATCCATCCCTTCCCTTCCCACCACAGCCCCCTGCTCTCCAGCTGGGAAGCTTCCCACAGCACAGGATGCTGCAGCTCAGGCTAGGCCTCCATAAAATAGACAATAATTAAAGTACTATGGGATGTCCCTGCTCCACATCTCTGAGAGCCAAGAGCAAAATTCCCACTAGGAACATCTTCCTCAATGAACATCAGTTTCTCAGGGATCTTCCTGCTGCTACAACCCCCTCCCCAAACCATCCCTTCCATTCTTAAAAAGAAATCCGGGAATGAGTCAAGGTTTTGTGTTGTCTGAAGCCAAAGATACAGCTTTAATTTACTGAGTCCAAAAGGCAAATTGAAATTATTTGTCCTCAGATTTGTGGATGAGAAGTGGGAACATGAAAATCTCTGCTGTGAATCTCCAAATGTCTGTGCCGAAAGGCAGAGCCTGGTCCTGCAGTGGAAAATTGTCCTCAGTTACCAGAGAGGCACTAATTAGTGACATTCCCAGAGTTTCAGCAAAATGCACGTGCTCTGCCTGGACAAACTATGCTTGTGGGGGAATTATCCCTTCATCCAGCTTTGCTCCTGCCCAAATCCAGGCCCTGCAGCCCCTGTGGCCCCCCAGAGCCAGCAGCACTCACCAGGCCCCGGTCCCTGTTCCTGCAGGTGGCCGGGGAGCAGCTGCAGCCGTCGGTGCATCCCAGCTTCTGCTTCCTGCAGCCACACTGCCTGTTCCCACAGCGGCCCTTGCACGAGCACTGAGGAGGGAAGAGGGATCCAATGGCCAGGATGCTCCTGGAATGCTCCAGGTCCTGCCAAGCTGTGCCATCTCAAGGACAGGGACATCCCCAAGCTGCCTCTTGTCACATTTTGCTGCCAGTCCTACATCCCAGAATCATTTTCTTCCTAATATCCAGAATAAAATCCTTCCACCTACAGATCATCTACAGGATAAATACCTTCAGTTATTCAGTGCCTGAACTGAGGTTATGCCAAAGGATCTCAGTTTCTGTGCCTGCTTCCACAGAGTCCCCACCCCAAAAGCCTAAGAATTTTCTGAGCCAGAGGCTGAAGCTCCAGACTGACACAGCTGGAAGCTGAGGCTCTGTCAGGACTGGAAGCTGCAGATTCCCAAAACAGGGATCCACAACAGGCCATCCCTTTTTTCGGTTTTAGTGGGGTTTTTTTTCCCTAAAATTGACTCCCTGGATGGATCTGGCTGCTGCTGGGCTGTTCCTGAAGCAGATGCCAGCTCAGGCATGGGCAGGAGGACAAAACATGGGAGGTGACTGGGACAGGGAAAACCTATCCAGGAAGGTGTTGGTGACTGCAGACAACCTTTGCTGTGTCTGTGGGAAGGTCCCAAATATCCCCAGGAACCCAAAGAACCAATTGCTGCCCCTTTGAGAACAGTGAGACACCACACCTCACAGCTGCATACCCAATCCCTGGACACAGCAAGTGATTCCCCAACAGACCCTGGATCAAAGGCAGCTGGATCTTACCCCTGTGAGGGTTTTCCTTGTTCCTCTGCCTGCTTTCCCAGGAAGCCAGTCAGAATCCTCCCCTTCCCCAGAGTCAGAGAGCAGCTCCTCCACATCCACCTCGGGGCTGCGTGCTCGGGGCTTGGCCGTCGTCTGCCGGCGGTTCTTGGGCTGCAACACAGGAGCACGGGGGGTTAGGCCACAAAAAAATCACACAGATTGTATTTTATTAATGGTTATTATAATTTAACAAGGTTTTATTATGTTTTATTAAGATTTTCAGGGTACTTCACAGCCAAGAAGGTTGTGGGGTGAGGGAGGGGAAAGAAAAGAACCAATTGGCAGGATTAAAAATCCAATCAACTTAAGCAATTACTGACAAATCCTTGGAAGTCTGAGTTGTTGTCAAATCACATGACGAAAAACAAGCGTCACACTCCTGTCCCAAGAGTTTTAAATAAATCTCCTCCTCCCAGCACTAAGATTTGGCTCTTTGCAAAGCAGCAAAGTTTGCTGTGACACACGTGCCTTGCTCCATAATTTTACAGACTGGGAATGCTCCAGAAAAACAATCTGGATTGTGAAGGAGGATACAGAGTCAGAACTACAATGAGGAAATAGGTTTGGGGATTTGTTTGCCTATTTTTTTTAATCAAAAAACTAATGGAAGTTATTTCAGTCTTCTAGAAAGGACTGAAGGGGTCACTTCAATGAGAACTTCAATGAGTAGAACAAGTGCCTGCTAAAAGCAGCTCAGGAGAAAGGAAAAATTCACATTATCAAGAGTCAAGGTTAACTTTGGCAAAGAATTCAGGTGCAACACAAAGAGTGCAGCCTCTTACTTTAGGTGGAACATAATCAAAAGAAGAGTCTGGAGACTCAGGTGGCCTTTGCTGGATGTGCCGGAGCTTCTGGCCACTGGCAATTTGGAGGAGCAGCAGTTTCTGTCAAAAGGGACAAGAATTAGAGCTGCAAAATCCCTTAAACCCAACTGCCACGAGGCTCTGGTGTCTGCACAAGGCTCTACCTGTTTCAGAGTGTCATTTTCCCGGAGGAGCTCCTGGTTCTTCTCACAGATCTCCCTCATTTTTTCCAGCTCTTCCTCCTGTTTGCAGAACAAGAGGAAATTTGTTTTGTTGGAGATAAATAAGAGAAAATCCCCCAGGGTTATTGCAGCCTGCACAGCCACCACTCTGTGCAGGTTTCTGCAGAGGGAACACACAATCCTTCTCTTGATTCCAGGTATCCCAAAGGATCCCACCCTCCCCAGCCCCTGCACCTGGAACCGGAGTCGCTCCTGCAGTTGTTTCTCCTGCTCGTTCAGGGAATCTTCCAATCTCTTCTCTGCTGCTTCTTTCTGCTGGAATTGGCTGAGCAGGTACAGAACCTAAAACCAAGTTGTAATAAATAAGGGTGAATTCCTGAAAAGAGCATTTGACATCGAAGTCCAGGCTCTGGGAAATTTCCTGCCACTTCCAGCACAATTCCACCCTGATCTACTTGAAAAGTGATCTTGTGCTCAGGTGTAACCTCCTCATTTAGAGCAGGAGGAAAGTTACTGAATAAATCAATTTGCATAGGATAAATACAGAGATCTCTTCGGCTTTTAATGAACTGTCTGCACAAATCCAACAAAATTTGAGTTGATATTCAGCACCAGCTTCATTTCGGCACATCCCCTTTTGCCTTTCTGATCAGACTCCAAGATTTCCATGAGCTGTGATTCACCTTTTCCTGGTGTTGCTGTTCCTGCACCAAAATCTGATTTTGGAACTCTGCCTCCAGCTCTGCTGTGTGGTTTCTCTCTTCCATCAGCATCTTCTGCACGTCAGAGCAGCTGGCCTGGCTCTGCTCCAGGTTGCTCTGCAGTTTGCTCTCCTGCACTTTGGAGGAGACCAGCTGGAAAACAAGAGCAAGTGATGGCTTGGGACAGGGATTCCCTGCTGGGACAGGGATTCCCTGCTGGGACAGGGACTGCAGTGTGGAGGGGAAGCATCCCTGTAAATTCCAACCACCCCAGGAACTGAACCAGCCCACAAGCACCAAGGAAACCAGGAGAGATTCAGAGCCAGACACTTTGGAGGTGCAAACCAGGGAGTTGAGGGTCTTGTTCACAGTTCTGAATTCACCTCCCTTCAGGCAACACCGAGAGTATTTTCCTTTTCACCCTTTTCCTTTGATTTCCAAGCACCAGGGAGCAACAGGTAATTGTGTCCTTCAGTTGCTCTTTCCCTGATCCCACAATATCCCAATTTCTCTTTTTCCTATCTCAACACCAACTCCACGGCTTCCCCTGACCTCAGCCAGCACTGTCCTTGTTCCCCTGCTTGTTCAGGAAGTATTTTAGATACTTTTTCTTCTCTTCCACTCTTGAAATTTGTCTTTTCCCTTTCCCATGCAAGCATTTAGCTGGTCTCATCTATTCCACTTCCCTGTTTTTCAGATTTCACTCCCCAGTACAGATTACTTTAATCCAAACTTGAGAAGGGAATAAATAAACCTCATCCACTACAGGAGGGCTCCACTCAAAATTCCTTTGGTCACTTCCTTTTATTTGTGGCTAAGCAGATTTAGAGCCTTTATTTTCAGGGATAAAAGAGGAAAATCCAGGGTTTACCTCTCCCAGGAGATACTTCAGAGCACATTTGGCCTCCAGGATTGTGGCAATGCTGTCCCAGCGCTGCTTGGCCCGATCTCCATTGTCTGCATCCAGGAGTTTCTGCTGCAGATCTGCTATCTGAGCACTCCTGGGGAAGAATCCACGGGTTTGGGGTTACAGCACAGGAGAAAACCAAGGCTGGCTTCTGGGCTAATGTTACTGTTCCCAGAATATTAAGTAAAATAGTATAAATTGAGATTTTTGCTGCCCAGTAGAGCACCTGGAGCCTGCACTGCTCCCCTGGGGAGTTTTGCCTCCACTCCACATTCCCAAATAGAAATGGAGGTTTTTACCCCCAGAGGTGCTCACTAACAGCTAAAAAAACCCACTCTGAGTATTTTTCCCACATTTCAGAAAAATTCCAGCCAGGAAAACCCAGACCTTTCCCTCACCATTGCTAGTGTCATTCTGTGTGTTTCACATCCTCTTCCACCTCCCAGAGAGTTGGGATGGAAATGAGGGAAAAGGCAGAGGTGAGGCTGTGTGAGGAGCTCTGTGGCAGTGCCTTACCTGAGCTCCATCTCTGTCTGCAGGCTCTCAATCTGCTTGGAGACCGAGAGATCCGTGTAGGGAGCCTGCAGGTCAGCCAGGCAGTACGTGCGCCTCTGCAGTCACAGCACACGGATCCAGGGCAGGAACAGGGCAGAAAATCACACAGTTAGAGATATTCCAGCTAGAAAAGCCTCCAGGCATCTCCCCACAGCTCCAGTTCCATTGTTCCTTCCCCAAAGCCTTTGCTAAGGGGAGTGAGCCACTTGCATCCCTCAGAATCCCTGAGGGTGGAAAAGATCTCCCAGAGCATCGAGTCCAATCATTCCCCCAACACTGATGGGTCCCCCATGACCCCAGATGCCACATCCACACGTTTTTTGGACACTTCCAGGGATGGTTGATTCCACCATTTCCCTGAGCAGCCCCTTCCAAAGCCTCATTTGCCCTTTCAGGGTAAAAACTTTCCCAAATTCCATTAAGAAACAAAACAAGCTCCTTCAGCACTTCTTGTCCCTGACATGTCAGAGGATAAAAATACTAATCCTTTCTCCCAGAAAGGATGGGATCCATCCCCATCTTCTGAGGGAACAGCTCAAGCAGGAGTGAGAATTAATGAAATCCAGTATTGCTGAACAGACAGAGGAGGGGTGTGAGAAGGGGAATTTCCCTCTTACCCGGAGCTTTGGAGGGGGATTTTCCCCAGCATCTTTCTTCTCTTTCAGCTGAAGGAGCTCCTTTGCCAGGATTTTCCTGTCCTCCAGCAGGTCTGCCAGGTGTCTTCGAGCTTCCTCAGTGCTGACAAGTACCTCAACTTCATTTGCAAGCCAGCTCTGGGAAAATAACCCCCAAAACCCAGTGGTTGAGCTCAGCTCCAGGACTGAACCCTCTGTGAGGGCATTTCAGAGAAACTGAATAATCCCATTGCAATTCCCTGCTCCTCCTGCTGTGCTCCAGACAGCAAGGCCAGCAGCACCCACCCCAAATCCCAGTTTGCCCAGTGCTGGGATGCAGAAATGCTGTTACCCACTTTGACTCGTGCAGCAATTCCTTCCATGCCCCGATTTTGGGTCTCCTTCCGTTTATCCGCCACCTCCTTCTGCTTCTGCAGGGCATCCTTGAGGCGTTTGTTGGCAGCTGCTGCCTGGAAAAGATTCCACAAGGAGCTGAACAGGGACTGGAAATCACCTGCTACAGCTGGAAACATCAGGGATTCCCAGCCCAGGGCAAACACTGGGGCAGTGACAGCACAAGGTTAATAAATCTCAAGTTTTTCTGGTTTAACTCAAAAAAACCCCTGCCCTTGTTTTATTTCTTTTGCTGCCATTCCTCCTTTAAAGAGAAGCTCCTTTTAGGCCTGAAGGTAAAAGAAAACACCCAAAATGAGGTGTTGAAGATGCATTTCTTCTACAGAGCTGTCCTGAAAGGATTTTGAACTGCAACCTTGTAGATCTACCACCCAAACTCACTTCCCACTTCCTGCCTTGGGCATCTGCATGGATTTGCCACAGGGACCTGGGACTCGGAGTCATTTGGCCTTTAAGGAGCAAATTTAACTGGAATTCCTCAAAGGCTACAAGGCAAAAAGGGGGATTTCTCTGCAGAGAGAAAAGCTTTTCTTTCCAGTCTCTGAATTTCCTTTAAGGAACAAATTTAACTAGAATCCCTCAAGGGCCCCAAGGCAGAAATGGGGATTTCTCTGCAGAGAAAAAAGCTTTTCTTTCCAGCCTCTAAACTTCCTTTCAGTTTATCTGTGTATCTTGTTCCTTCCTCCAGCCCCACTTGGCAGACTTTAGGGATTGGTTGGCAATTTCCAGGGGATTGTGGCTCCTCACCTCCTCTGTTTTGCGCCGGAGGACATTGGCCTGCTTCTGGAAATCCCTCTCCAGCTTGAGGAGCTCGTACTGTCTCTTACGGTCCTGTGAGGAAAAACAGCTGGAAAAGTCACATTTTCCATGACAAAGGAAAGGCTGCAGCCCCAAAATTCCAGCCTGAGCATCCCAAGGCAGGAATTGCTGTGAGACCAAACTCCAGGTGTTTGCTGGCCATTGCACAAGCAGCTGGATTTTATTGATCTGCAGATCCAACATTCCTTTGGAAGTTTAAAAACCTCCTATGCTGAGGCCAAACCCTAAAATCATTCAAATACTGACAATTCTTGCTTTCTGCTTTAGAGCAGAGTCACAGCCGTGGCAAGAGCTTGAAGATCCCCAGCCACAAACAAGTCCAAGTGGTGAAAAGTGGCAGCCACATGAGCCAAGCTTCTCTTCAAAGCATTCCCAGACATTTCCGAGTTAGAGAAACCTTGCAGCAGCCCTTTGGAGGTAGGAACAGTGTGAGGGGCTTGTTTGCTCACCTTTTCCTTCAGCTGGATCACTTCCTTGTCCTTCTGCTGCTTCCACTGCCTGAATTTCTCAGTGTCTTCCTTCATCTGACGCATCAGCTGCACCCTTTGCTGCTTCATTTCCTGAAAAACACCAGTGGCTGGAAGAATTATCCAGGATTTACATCCCAGTGAGCTTCAACCTCCATTCCCCCCCCTGTGCCTGCCAGGTGTGGGGAGTGGCAGGTGGGAAATCTTAATGTGCTCCCACTCAGGACTCTCTCAAAGTGCTAAAAAAACAGGGACTTTTTTTTTTTAGGCACAAAGGGAAGACCAGCCCAGGTACAATTTAGGGAAATCAAAGAGGAATCAAATTATTTGACTGAGGCAATATATTAGAAGTACCAGAAGATACTTTGGATTTATTTTCCTCCCAAATCTCAGTAGTCATCTGCCTGTTGTGGTCATGTAGCCAAAGGAATCTTGCCTAAATCTGCTATTTTCAGTCTGACTAAACAGAAACAGATTCCTGTTTGGGATTTCTGGGATTCCTGCTTTGCCCACCCTGGCTCAGGTCAGAGGTGCCTGTTGGTTACCCTGATCTCCTGGTTCAGTTTGGACACCGTGCGCTCCGTGGATTCCTTCAGCTTCAGGAGCTTGGATTGCTCATTCAGCTTCTTCTTGAGCTCAGTCATTTGTGCTTCCAGCTCCTGGAGCCTTTTCCTGCGCCGCTCGCTCAGCCTGGAGAGAAACAACAACAAATCCTCTCCAGCTTCAGAGACACCTCATGAGAAATGTCACCTCTGTCACCTTTGCTGCTGCTGAAAGCCCACAGGAAGCTTCTCTGCAGCTCCTGGCACATTAAAGTGATATTTTTGCATCAAAAAAGAGCTTTTACAGATCATGGAAGTGCAAGACATTGGATTTTGAGACACATTAACCACCCCCAGAGCTGCAGGCAGAACTCTCTTACTTGGCCTGGTTGATGTCCTTCTTTGCCATGTGCAGAGCAAGGACCAATTCCTCCTTTTCCTTTTGCAAATTGCTGACCTCCAATTCCAGATCCTTGATGTTGGTCTAGAAAGGACAAGAAGAATAAACCTCCAAATAAAAACCTTGGGAAGACACCCTGAGGCAAAGCTTTAAGAGAGAGAAACCTTGAAAAACCCCATTCCTTCACAGCAGGCTGCTCAACCACCTCACCTCAGAGCAGTGTGGGGTCACAGGGCTGGCCCAGCACACTCTGGAGCTTTGGTGGGCACAGGGTCACTGGGGCCACGTCCTGACTGGATCATCCCAGAGATGGGAGATCCCAGCACAAGAGGGAAAACTGCCCAAGGGAGCAGGGACCCAGCTTAAGGAATAGACCCACAACAGGATCCTGAGAACAGAATCTTCCTTCCCCAGCAGGAATTGGGGAAAACAAACTGACCAAGGAGGATTTCAGCTTTACCTGGTACTGGGACTGGATGGGCCCCAGCTGGGTATCATTTTCAGACATTTTTTTGGCCAGGGCCTCTTTCAGAGTCAGGGCTTTGTTGAGCTCCAGCAGCTCCCTGGAGAGCTGTGCCTGGCGCAGGGCGTGCTGGGTGCTGAAGTCGTTGGAGGCTCTCTTGGATTCCTGGCCCACTTCTGCTTCCTGCAGGAGACACAGCCATGAGGAGAGGCCATTCCAGAGCTCCTGAATTACATGATCTCTGTTTCTACAGAGCACTTCAAATGAATTTTTACTTAAAAAAAACAGATATGCAGAAATGAGAACAGGTTCTTGACTTTGAGCACATTGAGTTTAAATCAGCACAGACAAAAGTGATGATTTATCAAGCATTTGGGTTAGAAAATTAGCAGGAGGGAGCAGACAAAAGTGATGAGGAGATAGAACCATGCTCCAGTGAGGTGTGCACTGCTGAGCCCCTCACTTACACCTGGGGAATCCTGTTCAGAGTTTGACAGCTCTGCAGAAGCTTCTGAGGTGGCAGCATTTTCACTCTGGTGGACAGAGAGAAGAAAATGGGGGTGAAAAGGGAAATAGGAAATAAAATAAAGGAAGTAACGGTCTGTTGGCACATTATGGCAAAGCACAACGTGATTCTCCTCTGGAACCTCTCTGGAAAGAGGAGACCATCATCCCTCCTCCTCAAGGAATGTGAGGAAACTCCTCCTTGTCTAGTTGGAAAAGTTATTCCTTGAAATCTTCCCTGAACTCCAGCACCGGAGAGAAGAGGGAAGAAGAGAACAGAGGAATGTCCAGTGAAGGAGAACTGAAATTCCTCCATTAGATAAAAGTCTGGAAGATTCTATTTAACTATTTGAGGTCCCTGCAATTTATATTGTCCATAAAAAATCACCAAGTATAGAACACTCCATCCAATTTAGGGACTGTAAATCCATGCCAAGCTCCAGTATCAGGTTTTTTCATGTAGATTCCTCCTTGGACCCCACCCCCAGGAGCAGCACAAGTGGCCTTTCTGCAGCATTAAAGCACAACAGGACAGTTTTGAAGTGGATCTCAAGAGTCATTACACACTTTTAATTCCTGGGCTCCTTGAGGGAAGTTGTTGGAGTGGAATCCCAGATTTCCTCAATAAATTGACACAACCCACCCCTCCCTGGGCTCAGCCTTACCTGCAGCTCAGCCAGCACCTGCTGCAGGTTCCGGATCACCTCCACATTTTCCTTTAATTCCTCATCTTCCACAGTCTCCACCAGCTTCTGCAGATCCAACTTGCACCTGGAAACACAGGAACAAGTCCATGGCAAGGGAAGAACAACTTTCCCCACTCAACCTCTGAATTAATTCTGGATGAACAAACCCCAGCTGATGGGATCCAGTTTATCCCACTGCAAACACTGAATTCCCAAGGACATTATCCCAGGAGAAGGGTGTGGGGACACTTACACAGCGTGGTGCTGGAGCTGCTCTAGTTTTGCATTCATCTTCTCATTTTCTTGCTCTGTCTAAAAGAAATTAGAATTATATTCAATTGCAGAGGAAACCAGGAATCAGCTGATTAATTTGCAGCAAAAAATTGGCAGCGTGAAAATCAAAGATTTCACTGAAAGGTCCTTCATGGTCAGGGGCACCAGTCTGGATTTCACAGCATTTTTTCATGGAGGGACACTGCAAGCAACAGGAAAAAAGCAGAGTGGGGAAGGCAACACAAGTGTGCAAGTTCTATTTAAAATATTAAAATAAAATATTTGAAGTATGAAAAAGCTGAAAGATTCAAGTCTCCCGTTTCCAAAAAGAAACTAAAGGCCGACAGATTCTGGCAGGTTTTTGGTTCTGACTGATTTGGAATCGATGTGAACGGAACATTTAAGAGAGATTCTAAGTATGTCATAAATAAAAGAGCTGCTGTTGAGTCATCCCCAGCAATTTAGAGCTCTCCTGGGATAACTGAACATACCAGGATGATCCTCTCCAGCATCTGTGCTGTTTGCCCAGCAGCCTCACTCAGCCCCTGGCTCAGCTTCTGGTTCTCCTCCTGCAGGGATTGGTTCTTCTCCATCAGGGATTGGAGGCTCTCTGAGGGGGCCAAGCCACTGCAACAGCAAGGAGCAGTTGGGTGTGAGTTTGGACTTTGGGACAGCACTGAAGTCACCTCCAAAATTATTATTGTTCCCTAAATAATTTACAATAAATAGCCCAGAATGGTTTGGGAGGGAAGGATCTTAAAGCTCATCCAACCCCTCCCCTGCCATGGGCAGGAACACCTTCCACAGACCAGGCTGCTCCAGGTTTTCTCCAAGCCTTGGACAATTCCAGAATGCAGGAAAAACCTCCAAACAGAGGTTGTGAACTCATGTACTTGGTTTTGAAACATCCCCAGAACACACCACCTGCACAATCCAACTCTGTCCCAGCTTTTGTGCTTGTAAGGATAATGGAGGTGGAGCTGCCCCACATTCAGGGGTAGAGGGGTGAGGAGAACGGGGATGGAAGGGACACAGTGACAGCAATTTATTCAGGAGGTGTTTCTTGGTTCCTCTTTTACTTCCAGCAACAGATTTTTGCATTCACAAGGTGTTTGCTACAAAACTAAATATCCCAGGGAACCCCAGTAAGGATAACAAAAAAAGAGAGGGGAAAAAGCAACCAATTTGTTCTCCCCTCACTCCACAGCACTGCCCAGAGCTAAGGAGATCAGACACTTCTCTGGAGTGTGATAAATACACATCCATAGGACATTAAATAATAAATCTTACTTGAGAGCCACTGGCAGGGTCCCTCCATGGGCCTGGAGCAGCAACACCTGGAGCTGCTGGACCTACAAAGACAAATAATTATTGCTTGTTAAGGTAGCAGCTCCATGGATCCTTGGTCTTCCTGCCTCCCCTGCTCCATAATTCCCCTTTTACCACTGCCTGTGGAAAGGAGTGGTGTTGTTAGAGTATTTCAAGCCATTTACTCCTCAAATAAAAGGTTCTTCATTTCCCTCTGGGATCACCCCAGGGAAAACTCTTCCCTTCCCACCGAGCTGGGCACAGATTGATGTCAGGAAGACACCAAACCATCTCTGCATTTCTAATTGTGCTTCTAGCTCGCCAGGCAAGGATTTGTTGGGTGGAAGGGAAATTGAAACCACACCAAGAATTCCAAGAAATTCCCACATACCCCCTTTCCCAGCCACCTCCAGAGGTGGAGCAACACACATTAAGGATGTTTTGCAATTTTTGTGAGGTTGTGCCTTCCCTTGGGGTTTGCTGAGCTCAGAACCTGAGGGGTTCCCCCAGTACCTGCTGCTTCAGCTGGTGCAGCTCAGCTGCCTGGGGGTCCACGTTGACAATGGGTTTGTTTTTGATCTTCCTGGCCCTGTCAGCATAACGCAGAGTGTTCAGGGTCTCCTCCAGGTTGGAATCTGCTGGGCTCACACAGGCGATCATCAGCGTGTGGCTGTTCCCACCCAGGGAGTCTGGGAAGGAAAACAAACAATGTCAAAGCTGTCAGAGCAAGGATGACAGTGAAATGTCATCATTCAAGGGATCTAACCCCATGAGCACATCCCCAAAATGTAGATTAAACAGCTGGATTTTGGTTCCACTCGTTACTTTCTCTTCTGCCCACTCAGTTTTGTATTAAAATGGATTTTTGAAAGCCAAAGTCAAGCTTTTAAACCAAAGATTTCAGCACAGAAGCCCCAGTTGTTGCCTTAATAAATGATTTCTTTATGCCATTTCTGGCTTGGTTCTTTCAGGTTTGCCCCTCCCTTCTCAATAACAAGACCTCCATGAATATCCACAATTTTCTCCACTTTAAGGAATTATTGGCTAAGAACAGATCACAAAGCTGCATGGAACTTCATCCTTTGATTTCATTCAAATTAGCTCCTTAAAGCTACTGAACAGAAAAAGAAAAGGGCCCCAAATCCAGCCCAATCCAGGTTTTAATGAGGAACTTTCAGACATGGAAAATACTGAAGAGCTTTTGCACCAAATTATGTAATTACCATAAAAATGCCAGTAATTTCATTACTAAAGCTGTGCCCAAATTAAAGGGTAGCTTAAATAAAACACATTAAAAGACAAATCCCAGCTATTGAAAAATAAAGACCAGATATTCAGACTAAGAAAACAAATCCCAGGGAAGGCACAGACAGCTGGAGCTTCGTTCTGGCTGTGACATCACCCAGGGAGTTGCTATAATTAAGGTACAATAATAGATCTCTTCCCCCAGATTTCTCTTCTTCCTTCTCTCCACCAAAAATATGCCCTGAATTTGTCTTGTTTCTTCCTGCCACACAAAATGCAGGAGAGCAGGACTCGTTTTGAGTTCATCTCACTGCATTTACAACCCAAAATAAGAGTGCAGGAGAGGCCTGGCTTCAGTGAGGAATTAAACAAATGAATCCCTTTGCAGCAGCAGCTCTGAGCTGTGGGGTTTTCTCCTGCTTTGTTATTTAAAAAGCACCTGTAAGTTTAGGCTTTGTCATCATCTCCTCTCACCTTGCAGCAGCCTGGTCAGCTTAGAGTCTCTGTAAGGGACGAATCCTCCCTTTTTATTGTCATCTCCCAGAGCACTGATGACATTCCCCAGGCACAGGAGGCCTCTGTTGATGCTGATTCCTGCAGACAAAGCTCCCAGTGAGCACAGCCACCTCAACAGCTCCAAACTCCTCATTTCCCACCCTTAATAAAACTTTAACATGGTTAAAAAAGCAGGTTAAAGGATTAAAGAAGTGCTTTGCTCTTTTATTAATTCCCAAGTGAGAAGAAAAAACCCAAACTCCACCAGTCCCAGCCCACAGACCTTCTCTGAGTCTGTCTCCCTCAGCTTTGGTCTTCTTTTGTCTCTCAGAGCCAGCAAGATCCACCAGGTGTAGCTTGCAATGAAAACTGCAATTCCTAGGGCAGAAAGAAACTGCTTTACTCTCCCAGGTAAACTTCCAGGTGGAAAAGGAGCAGCCAAGGAGCTGAAAATGCAGAGAGCCAAAACCTGAACTGCTTTGAGAAGCACAGCTCAGGACCAGGATGAGGAAATTTTGGGAAAGTAACTCTCATCAGCTGCACAACGACACTCACTTGTCGTTTTTCTTCTTCTGTTCAATGCAGATGGTGAAGATGGCATGGGATCTGGAAGACTGGGAATTCATGGCCGTGGATCCCACAGTTCTGGAGTTGTTCCCCTGCTCCAGGCAGGACACGGTCTCTTGGGCACAGGTGACATTTCTTTCTGTCAACCCCACAATCTGTAGCCAGGAAGGAAACACTGTTTATCCTCTTGCTTCCTCTTAGTCCCACCTGGGATCAGGAAAATCCCCCTGCACCTCAGACTGTGCCAGCCCCATTCCCAAGAATCAGTGTCACCTCCAGCCAGGGGCCTGGAATAGAAACTCCCAGAAAAAAATGGTTCTGAATTTCACTTCAGGAATGTGGAATCACATCACCTGTTCCTAAACACCCTCCAAGTTCCTCTGCCTGCTCCAGGGCCAGCTGGGCTCCGGGATGGAGATGGAGCTCCTCAGGGCAACAGGGACAAACCCATGGATATCTCAGGCCAAGCTGGGAGCTGATAGCTGTGCCAGTCACAGGAAGGGGCTGAGGGGGAGGGGATTCGTGTGAATAAAGTATTGGAGAGGCACAAACCAGAGAGGGGATGAGCAGGAAGGACTGGATGTGCTCCTTGGCAAGCTGTGCATTCCCTGAGCTCCCATCCACCCAGATCTCTCTGTGCTGCTCCCAACACATGGATGAGCCCCATCCCACTGCTTTAGGGATGACTGAAAATTCCACTTAAACCCCTTCAGTGCCCAGCCCTGCCCACACCCAGCAGGGCAGACCTTGATGCCTTCCTTGGGATCCTCCCGGATGCTGATCTGGGAACGTTCTCGGGAGGGACACAGCAGGTCCAGGATGTCCTCGTTGTAAACCTGGAAGCGGCAGAGGAGCAGCTCAAAGTTACCAGCCAAAGAAAGGGGCTGAAATTAGGGCTAATTTTACATCACATTTTACTCATTTCACCTTCAGAGAAAGACATCTTGGACCACAAAGGACTGGCAAAACCTCCTGGAGTCTTAGGGGTTGATGTTAGCAATATCTATTACCTGAAGGAGGTGATCTCAAAGCTCCCTTTATTCCTAACTTGATATAAAAACACCAAACCTTTACCTCCAGATAAGAAACTTTGAGGACGAAGTCCCAATCCTGCCTTTGATAAGAAACTTTGAGGACGAAGTCCCAATCCTGCCTTTGCTGTTTTTCCTCAAAGAGCAGCTTGATGACCCTGGGGATGACCCCCACGCTGGGCTCATGCTCCTGGGTGGCAGTGTAGGTGCCTCCCATGGAATAGGTTTTCCCTGACCCCGTCTGTCCGTAGGCCAAGACAGTGGCATTGTATCCTGAGGGAACAAAGGGCACCAGGGTGAGTCACGTGGGGACAGAAAGCTGCATTTTTCAACGTCATCCTCCCAGAAAATCATGAGTTTACACCAGCTTTAGGCATAGATCACAGTCAGAAACATTGAAAAAGAAAAAAAAAAAAAAGGGCAATGAAAACACCACAAAGCACAAATTAAAATTATTATTTCTTTTTAAAGACTAGACGTTTTATTAGAGCTAAATAGAAACACAGCAGAAATTCTCTGCCATCCCAGCTCCACTGCAGCATCCTGGAACAGGATGTTTATGAATTCATTGTGTTATTCTTAAAGAGGAAGAGGGACTTTTTATAAGGGCCTGGAGTGACAGGACAAGGAGGGGATGGCTCCCCATTGCCAGAGGAATATTGGGAAGGAATTGTTCCCTGTGAAGGTGGGCAGGCCCTGGCACAGGGTGCCCAGAGCAGCTGTGGCTGCCCCTGGATCCCTGGAAGTGTCCAAGGCCAGGCTGGACAGGGCTTGGAGCAGCCTGGGATAGTGGAAGGTGTCCCTGCCCATGGCAGGGGTGGCACTGGATGGGCTTTAATGTCCCTTTTAACCCAAACTCTTCTGGTGTTCCACGAAAACTGCCTGACACAGCAGCCTCAGAGAACACACCCCGCTCGTCCTGTGGAGAGCAGGCTCCGAAGGGACAAGATCTGCGACAAACCTTTGAAGATGCCTCGGACCAGAGGCGACACCGCTGTGTTGAAAACCTCCTCCTGCTCCACGGACGGGTCGAACACGTAGTCGTAGGTGAAGGCCTTGTCATTGCCCACCACGACCTGCGGAGGAGAGGCACGGGGCAGCGCTGGTAACCGCGCCCGGGCCGCGGGACCCCCGGAGCCCCCCGAGCCTCACCTGCGGCTCCCCGGGCACGAAGGACAGGCACATACGGCAGCCCTCGCTGGTCTCCTTGGGCACCAGCGGCCGGCAGCGCAGCGCCACACGCACCGGGATGCCCTTCTCGTCCTCCCGCACCATCGCCGGCCTGCGGACACGAGCGCCGTGAGGAGCCGGGACACGGGAGCGGGGATGAGCGGGAGCCGCTGCGGCCCTGCCCGGGACGGGAGTGCAAGGCGGGGTGGAGCGGGGGTGAAGCGGCCTTAGTGGGGCTCTGGGATGGAGCGGGGGTGAAGCGGCCCTGCCGGGGCTCTGGGATGGAGCGGAAGCCCCGGGCCGGGTGTGGGGTCGGAGCGGGGGCGGAGCGGGCCCGGCCTGGCCCTGCCCGGTGTCTCTGGGCGGCCGCGGGACTGACCTGGAACCGCCGCTGCTCGTTCCAATGGCGGCGCCGCAACGGTTACGATTCAAA